GATAGGCGAAAGGTCTAGGCTAATGGCTGCCAGTCGAACGGGCAAAGATTCTTTCCCATTTGAAGCCTGGAGCGGTGAAGACCTATAAAAATTTTGAAATTTGTGGTTTAGTTTTGGAAAAAAAAAAAATAAACCGTTCTATATTTGGTGGAAAATCCTAAGACGGCACTACAGAACAGAAGAAAATCCGGGGATTTATCTCGAAGGGTAAGTGGCGCTAAACCGTTGCCTGGTGCGCTTATATGAAGGTGTTAATTTTTTTTTTGGTTAGCATCGGATGCGACTGTGGGTCGACAGGCACGTTACAGTGCAGTGGAGGACCGAGGAGAACCCCAACTTAGTAGGAAACGCGGTATTAAACTCGGCGGTCGGCGGACGGCGGTCGGCGGTTCATCTTTCCCCAATCGTGGGGTTCGTCTAAATCAAAGGCCAGGCAGAATAGGGACACGTAGGCCATAGTTTTCTATGATAAGTAGCTTAAGAGAAGAAAACACTATGTGATGTGGGCAAAAGTGTAAAGTCCCCAGAAAACCCCCCCCCGAAAAAGTCTATGTCGTATGCCTTATGTAACCTAACCTTAACGTCCACATGAAGTCCGCAGAGGCTAAACCGACCGATCAGCACTTGATTAGTTTCTCCGGATGATCCTTCCCAGGCAAGCCAACAACAAGTGAAAGTGTGGAAAAGTGCCTAAAAGTGCGGTGCCTAAAAACTAAGTGAAGCCCGCAGCAATCCAGGTCATAGCGAATGGCCTTTAACTCCTAATGGGTTTGGGTATATATTAAGGTATTTTTATACCCTTGCAGAGGGTATTATAATTTTGTCCAAAGGTGTGCAACGCAGTGAAGGAGACATCTTCGACCCTATAAAGTATATATATTCTTGATCAGGATCACCTCCTGAGTTGATATGAGCATGTCCGTCTGTCCGTCTGTCTGTCTGTTTCTACGCGAACTAGTCTCTCAGTTTTAAAGCTATCGTCTTGAAACTTTGCACACACTCTTCTTTCCTTTGCACGCAGTATATAAGTCGGAACGGCCGGGATCGGCCGACTATATCCTATAGCTGCCATATAACTGATTGATCGGAAATGGTATAACTTTGGTGTTTTTAGAGTTAGAGAGTTCAAATTTGACATGAGACATATTTTTGGCAAAATATTACGACATACCAAATTTCATAAGGATCGGCCGACTATATCCTATAGCTGCCATATAACTAAACGATCGGAAATGACCCAACTTTCGTGTTTTTGAAGATAGAAAGCTGGAACTTGGTACACATTCTATTTTTGGTCAGTTAATCCGATCTACCAAATTTCATATTCATATTCCATATTCATATATTCATTTCATATTCCAGTCGCAGTGAAGAGCTTGAGGAAGACTTTCATCCCAGGACAACTTCTCACGGCACAATTTCTAGAGAAAGATCTTTGCCTTTGAAATTACAGGACCAACAAGGCCTAATGGGTCATAAAGCCGAGCGACTGAAGAAAGGACGAAGCGCCTAGTGGGCTTTGAGATTGACTGAATCCCTTCAAAGGAAAATAGCAAGCGGTCAGTTGCAGGATCCCAATCATCCCCAATCCCCTGCCATCATCAAACCTTAGGAAAGACTCCCGATCTTCTTCAGGCACCTTATCCAGCACGTCAGCAACATTGGAGCACAACTTCCTTAACCGAAAGTGCCTTTGGCAAGGATCGCGGATGTTTGCTACATTATGCTAATAGCTTCATCTATAGAGTCGCCTCCGGAAAACAGATCATCCACATAAAAGTCGCGACGCAGAATTTTGGCCCCCTTTGGAAACATTATTTGCTCATCATCTGCCAACTGATGCATTGTCCGAACTGCTAAAAATGAGGCAGGCTTCGTTCCATAGGTGACCGTTTCCAGCTTAAAAACCTGTAACTCATCCTGGGTGGAATCCCGCCAAAGAATACACTGAAGATAGCTGTCCCAGGGAAAACCCTGACGCAACGATACATTTTACAAATATCTCCAGTAATGGCCACCCGATGGCATCGAAACCTTAACAGAATATGCAGTAACTTTAACTGAATAACTGGGCCAGACATCAACACGTCATTCAATGAATATCCAGAAGTGGTGACAGCAGATCCATCAAAGACAACCCTGAGCTTGGTTGTTGAACTGTCCTCCTTTAAAACACAATGGTGTGGAAGAAAGTATTGACCAGTGACGCTCGCATCAGAAGGGACTGGAGACATGTGACCCAACTCCAAATACTCCTTTATGAAGGCAGCATATTGCTCCTTCAATTGAGGACGGTGACAGAGCTTCCTTTCGAGGGAAAGAAATCGTCGAACGGCTTGGGGGTAAGATTCTCTAAGCAACTTAGAACCGCATTTTAACGGAAGCTTCACAGCGTAAGCGCCGGAATCCAGCCGAGCAAAATGTTGCACGAAATGCGCATCGCAATCTAGCTCCTCCTTCGTCCGCTTCACAATAGGCTCGGAGCAGTCTTCGATTTCCCAAAACCGGCGGAGTAGAGAATCCAGCTGATCATCCAGCATTGTTGCGCTCTCCGGAACATCCTTGTGGGCAGTGGAATCGAATGATCTTCTCTGGACATGTGAACCGCCTCCAAACACGACCCATCCAAGTAGGGTTTTCTGCAGCAATGGCAGGCCGGCTGAAGACGCTTAATTTGCCCAAGAAGAAGGTCGATGAGCTGTGGGCGGAAAAATTCAGGATCAGCCAAAGAAAGATTGCCAGGAATATTCCAGCTGGAGACATCCAAACTGAAGCCAGGCTGCAGTTCCGTGATATTGGCGGCGATGACGGCGTTAACCAGGGCCGAGTACTCGGAACAGTGGGAACGTAGGAGAACATCAACAGAGAATCCATCTGTCGCAAAGCCGGTATCTCCAATACCAGACACCGCCATGAATGATTTGTACCTCCGGAACTGCAGCTGACTTGCCAGCCGGGAAGTGATCACGTGCACCTGCAATCCAGAATCCAACAGAGCGCGGCATGCGACAAGGGATCCAGCGCGACTAAGAACAAGAATGTTCGCTGTAGCAAGCAACGATATATCGCCGCTGCGACCTTGAGCAACTAGTGCATTAGCAGTGGACGGCGAAGAGGCTACAGGCTCAGTGACCTCGGCTATGGCTGACGTGGGAGGAACAACCAAAGGCTTGCCGGTAGATGCCTGAGGCTTCAGAAAATGCAACAGGCTGTGATGCCTCCTTCCACAACTGCGACAATTAGCAGCGAGGCACTCACGCATGTGATGGCCCGTTTGCAGACACTTCCGACAAAGACCGAGTCGCCTGGCCTCACCAAGGCGGATCTCAGGGGGCATTGATAGAAATCGGGGGCATGCAGACATTATATGGGACCACCCACCGCATAGAGCACAGGCAGAGGAAACCGAATTAGTAACAATAAAGGATGATCTACTATTATTTGCAACTCGACGCCTTCACATGTGAGCGCCCGGGGCGTATGCAGCCATGGCCACGTCAATAGCCTCCAGCGTCGTACACCGCTGCTCCAAAAATTCGGCATCCAAGTAGGGATGGCGTCTGAACCCGAGGAGTTTTGACTCTCCTCCCACTTAGCCTGGGTAGCTGGGTCCAACCTTTGAAGCAGAACCTGGACGATGATGCAACTGGCGATCTGAACTGATGAATCCAAATTTGTTAAGGCTCGCATATGGGAATTGAATTTGTCCGAAAGACCTCGAAGAGCTGCTATTGAGCCACTTTCCAACAGACTGAGGCCCAATATCTCGTTCACGTGTGCCTGAAATATTAAGCGACGGTTATTAAATCGTTTCTCCAATAAGTTCAGCGCAACATCATAGTTCTCGTCGGAGACTTCCAAGGAACGAACTGCTTCGAAAGCGGACTCTCGAAGGCAAGATCGCAGCCTTTGCAGCTCTTCCACCTTACTAATACGAGGATTGCTGCCGACGATTGTAGAGAAGATCGGGTAAAATTCAGCCCATTCCGAGTATCCACCGCTGAACGTAGGGAGCGGCAGAGGAGGCAGCACATGAAAACTTTGACCTAACCCTGGGTCAGCCTGCATGGTGGACATTCCGTTGGCAAGGGTGGAGTGGGCAGCAATTCGAGAAGAGCGAAGGGTCATCTCATGCTCAATTTCGGCCTGCATCGTCGCTACGAGCTCCGAAACAGTTCATTGAAGCTCACTGCTGATTTGCAAAATGTCCAAACCCTCAAGCTCCCCGTGGATGGCCTTGAAGTCGCTGAACATGGTGGCTATCTGACCCTGTCGCACGTGTAGCATGGCATCATCCACCTTGGAAACAGGCTGAAGAGCTCTTTGGATCCTCTGTAAGTCCTGGAGAATACCCAGGGCCTTGCACTTTAAAATTGCACTCCGGGTTGGAGTGGGTGCTCCTGTGACGGCGCCGCTGGAGTTCATGATTTATTATATTGAGTTCCGAAAAACCGAAGTAAATTTTATTTGATCGCGGCGAACCCGATCTGTCCCACTGTGCGCTCAGAACCGTAGCGGAATTGTGGAATGTATATATATATGAAGCTATGTGCGAGCGAATGCACTTTAGTTGTGGATCGTATGTTTGTATGAAGTCTATGCGCGGGTGAATGCACTTGCGTTGTGGATCGTATGTTTGGATGAAGTCTATGCGCGGGCGAATTGTAATGTAGCTGCTCTGTTAGGTTAGGCTGTTAAGGTCGCGGTTCTGTTAGGGTTGCTAGCGGTCACTGTTAGGTCAGCTAACAGTCGCTTCCAGGCACTTAACAGAGGAAGAAAATTAGAAAGTGCCAAGGAGCGATTAAAAAGGGATAGGCGAAAGGTCTAGGCTAATGGCTGCCAGTCGAACGGGCAAAGATTCTGTATTACCCGGTAACCATACCAATAATAGAAACTATTGTTAATTATATTCAAATATATATTTATGCGCGGTGGTCTGTTCACTCCGGCTGTAAGAATAAGATTAGATTACAAGAATTGACAAGAGTCAAAGTATGGCCTTATTGAGAGTCATAATGGGTCGCTCTCTCGCTCTCAGAGATCACCGGAGGTACAGACTCCCACATCCCTCCCTTATTGATGAGCTTCAGCTTCAATCCTTCTCCGGGTGCCGATGTCGTCTCAGACGTCGATTCCATCTGTTTTGATTCATCCAATGTCCTGAAATTAAAAGGCTGCAGAACGTCACCTGTGCTTCGGGAGGGTGGAGAGTGATCTTCGGTCTCAGCTGGAGGTTGTGTTTGTGGAATCTTTTTCACATGGCTCACATTCCTTGTTAAAGTTTTTCCCCCGCCTGTTATTCTTATAATGTCTCCCTCTCTTCCTTTTACGACGTATTCGGTGGTGTCAAAATTTGGTGTAAGCTTGTGGGGAAAGATTACGTTTTTAAGAAAAACCTTGTCTCCCACTTCAACATTAATTTCTTTGGCTCCTCTCCTCTTGTCGGCATATTCTTTGCCTTTCTGTTTGTTTACTAAATCACGGTCTCTTTCTACTGAGTCGCTGTATTCTCCCATTAAATCCTGCACCCCCGGAATCTTGTCCCTTATTACGCGATTGAACATTAATTCCGTTGGTGCAGACCCTGTGGTTCCATGGGGAGTCACATTATACATCATAACAAATGATTGTATTTCTTCCTTGAAATTTGTCTTGTTGGTGTATGCAATTTTTAGCCTTTTTACTAACGATCGATTCATATTCTCAACTTCCCCATTGGCTTGAGGCCAATAAGGTGGCGATGTTACTTGCTCGATTCCGCATTGCTTACAATATTCCTTAAATTCTGCACTCACATATTGTCTTCCGTTGTCAGTTTTCAGCTTTTTAGGGTAGCCTAATCTGGTGAAAATTTCTTTCATGGTACTGATCAATGACGTTGACGAGATCGATTTTAGAAATTTATATTCCATGTATCTTGAATAGTAGTCGATAAAAACTAGGATGTGCTCGTTGTTAGGTAACGGTCCCAAAAGGTCTGTAGCCACAAAAATCCACGGTCCTTCTGGAAATGTGGTTCGTTTCATAGCAGTGGGGTTTAATGCTTGCGATACCATTATACAATCTCTGCATGATTTGACGAATTTCTCCGCGTCTCGATCTATTTGCGGCCACCATACCTTGGACCTTAATCGTCGCTTCATCGCTGACTCTCCCGGATGACCTTCGTGTGCCAACGTTAGAATCGCCTGTCTTAACGCTTTTGGAATAACTATGCGGGTTCCTCGCATCATGATGGATCCAATAAGTGAGAGCTCATGTCTGAACGGAAACAGACTGTTTGACGATGAAGCGTTCCACGATTCGTCCTGCAGGCACGACATTGCATCTACAATCTCCTCGTCGTTAATGCTTTTTTCTGCAATTTCAGTGATCGTCATGGACGACGGAGTCGCGTTTTCGATTACGTGGAGAATGCTATGTTCGCCTTTCATGTCGTAACAATATCCTGGGTTTAATTTGCATAGACGAGAAAAAGTATCCGCAATATTCTCCTTTCCGGTCCTTTCCGGTCCTTTCCGGTTCCGGCTCGTCCTCAGTTTTTCCAAAAACAATGATGTCATCTATGTAATTTAGGACATTTGAGGAACCCGACAATAATTGCTCAAGCCTCCTTTGGAAAATCTCTGGTGCCGAGTTGACTCCAAACATTAATCGCTTGTAACGAAATAATCCTAACGGAGTTATAAACGTTGTTATTGCTCGGCTTTGTTCATGTAGCTCGAGTTGCTGGTATGCATCCTTGAGATCTAACCTGGAGAAGTATCTAGCATCCCTGAGTTGAGTCATGAACGCTTCAAACGTCGGTAAAGGATAGTTTTCCCTTAAAATGGCTTGATTTGCTCGCCGCATATCCAGGCATAGTCGAATGTCTCCATTTTCTTTGAAAACTAAAACCATTGGTGAGATCCAGGCACTTGGGCCATTTACAGGTTCAATAATATCACGCTTTAGAGCATCCTGAATCTTTTCGCGCACCTTTCCTTCTAATGCAATTGGTATCCTTCGCATGGGCTGTTGTACTGGTTTTATGTCCTGATTTATTGCCAACTTGACACTGTCGCCCTTCCACTTCGGAAAAACCGATACCTCCTCAATATGATTTATCTGCAGACCCAGCCGTAGCATATCCAACTTAATTGCAGTTTCTCGTCCCAGCAATGACTGTTGTCCTTTTTCAATGACGAAAAAGGAGGCAATCATTTCAGCCTGTTTACCGACAGAAATTGGTGCCTCAAATACGCAAATTACATTTAAAATTTGGTCCGAAGCATATCCTTTGAACTGGTTCTGTGAGTTAGGACGAACATTGAACACTGTGGCTTTATTCCTTTTTAGAGTGGACCAGTCGTCTTGGCAGATGAGATTATAGCGAGACCCCGAATCAATGATCAGAGATATGTCTGCCCCCCCGACTTTGCATTTGAGGCATTCATCTTGCTCATCACAATTTATTTTGAAACAATCCTCCGTTTTCGGCTTTTTAGTGTAGGAGCCCGTTTCACCTGGGTTAGTAGATCTCCATTGGGAGTTCTGTCTTTTTAAATTCGTCCTGCACTTCCGTCCAAAATGGCCCAGCCGACCGCACCGATTACATTTTGACTGTCGAGCTGGACAAGTAGGACAGTCATCTTTGTGGCCAGTACGTCCACATCTCTCGCATTCGAAGTTCCGTCTATTTCCTTTCGGTTTACTTGTCACGACTCTGTTTACCGGCTCCTCTGTACCCTTTGTCATCATTGCTGATTCTTTTCTTATTTCTTCGTCAACTTGGCATGCCTCGAGTATTTCATCCAGTGAATGTTCTTTTTCTAATAATTTCCTTTTTAAATCTCCTGATGCCCAAGCGTCGATTACCTTATCTTTAAGACAAATCTCTTCGATGTCAGCTTTCGTTGATCCAAAATCGCACCTCTTAATTTTTTGTCTTAGGCGCAAAACAAATTTGGCAAAACTTTCGTCGCCAGATGGAATCAAACTCCTGAACATGTGTCTTTCGAACGACGAGTTTTGTTTGGGTGAGAAGAACGCTGTCAATTTGTCCACCAACACCTGAAATACATAATTTTGTTCCTCTTCGTCGAAATCGATTACAGCATCTGGTAATGAATACGCTACTGATTGCAGCTGTATTCCACCTAAATGGAGTAGTTTGGTCCTCTTTTGCTTGCACGCAGTGATCTCCTCTGATTCAGCATAGATCTTAAATGCTCTCAGCCATTTTTCCCATTCCAAACGAAGCAGTGCTTTGTCAATGCTTTCGCACAAGAATGGTTTAATGGGTAATTCCGCGTTCATCTGTAAAAATTTGGATATCTCTATACACATGTGTATATATATATATATATATATATATATAATTTATTTAATGAAACTGAGTTTCGCTTCATTCTGTCACTGACTCCAGTTAATTCGTATCTAACTGTACCTACTTTACTAAACATATGCATGTTTTTTTTTCTTTCTTTTTTTTTCTCTGACTTTTGTCAGTCTTACTGTCCCTGACCTTTGTCAGCTTAGTACATATGTATGTACATACATGTATGGCTAACTGCCTCTGAAAACTCCTTTTCAGATAACTCCTTTTCTTTTTTTTTTATTATTATTATTATAATTACTGTCTCTGACCTTTGTCAGCTTAGTTCGGGCCTAACTGCCTCTAATCTTTGTCAGATAATCTCTCGCTTTCGCAAATTTTCTTGTTTTATTTATTTCAATTTGCATGCACATGTACATACATGTATCGTGTGCAACATGCATACACGTATACACGTATGTATGTATGTATGCCGGTGTGTCAACGCTAGTTCTACGTCTACATGACGAACGGCGTGCCAAAAGGATAGTGCAATTGAAAATTGCGAATCTTTTTTTTTCTGCGTTTATTTTTTTTTTCCTATTTATATTTTATTTCCTTTTAGTTTCATTATTAAGTATTATTTACCTCGTCGCCAATGTATTACCCGGTAACCATACCAATAATAGAAACTATTGTTAATTATATTCAAATATATATTTATGCGCGGTGGTCTGTTCATTCCGGCTGTAAGAATAAGATTAGATTACAAGAATTGACAAGAGTCAAAGTATGGCCTTATTGAGAGTCATAATGGGTCGCTCTCTCGCTCTCAGAGATCACCGGAGGTACAGACTCCCACAGATTCTTTCCCATTTGAAGCCTGGAGCGGTGAAGACCTATAAAAATTTTGAAATTTGTGGTTTAGTTTTGGAAAAAAAAAAATAAACCGTTCTATATTTGGTGGAAAATCCGAAGACGGCACTACAGAACAGAAGAAAATCCGGGGATTTATCTCGAAGGGTAAGTGGCGCTAAACCGTTGCCTGGTGCGCTTATATGAAGGTGTTAATTTTTTTTTTGGTTAGCATTGGATGCGACTGTGGGTCGACAGGCACGTTACAGTGCAGTGGAGGACCGAGGAGAACCCCAACTTAGTAGGAAACGCGGTATTAAACTCGGCGGTCGGCGGACGGCGGTCGGCGGTTCATCTTTCCCCAATCGTGGGGTTCGTCTAAATCAAAGGCCAGGCAGAATAGGGACACGTAGGCCATAGTTTTCTAATAGTAGTAGTAGCTCTAATGATAAGTAGCTTAAGAGAAGAAAAAACTATGTGATGTGGGCAAAAGTGTAAAGTCCCCAGAAAACCCCCCCCGAAAAAGTCTATGTCGTATGCCTTATGTAACCTAACCTTAACGTCCACATGAAGTCCGCAGAGGCTAAACCGGCCGATCAACACTTGATTAGTTTCTCCGGATGATCCTTCCCATGCAAGCCAACAACAAGTGAAAGTGTGGAAAAGTGCCTAAAAGTGCGGTGCCTAAAAACTAAGTGAAGCCCGCAGCAATCCAGGTCATAGCGAATGGCCTTTAACTCCTAATGGGTTTGGGTATATATTAAGGTATTTTTATACCCTTGCAGAGGGTATTATAATTTTGTCCAAAGGTGTGCAACGCAGTGAAGGAGACATCTTCGACCCTATAAAGTATATATATTCTTGATCAGGATCACCTCCTGAGTTGATATGAGCATGTCCGTCTGTCCGTCTGTCCGTCTGTCTGTCTGTTTCTACGCGAACTAGTCTCTCAGTTTTAAAGTTATCGTCTTGAAACTTTGCACACACTCTTCTTTCCTTTGCACGCAGTATATAAGTCGGAACGGCCGGGATCGGCCGACTATATCCTATAGCTGCCATATAACTGATTGATCGGAAATGGTATAACTTTGGTGTTTTTAGAGTTAGAGAGTTCAAATTTTACATGAGCGCTATTTTTGGCAAAATAATACGACATGCCAAATTTCAAAAGGATCGGCCGACTATATCTTATAGCTGCCATATAACTGAACGATCGGAAATGACCCAACTTTCGCGTTTTTGATGATAGAAGTTTGGGATATTTTTAGGTTTGGTTTTTGTATTATATTAAATTGGGTTATATTATCATATTTTCATAAGGATCCTATTTTCATAAGCCAACTATATCCGATGTTTGCGATATATATCCTGCAAGGGTATATAAACTTCGGCTCCGCCCGAAGTTAGCTTTCCTTTCTTGTTTTAGTTCTATTAAGTTTTGTCAGTTTTTTTTTTTTCCTTTCCTTAACTTAGAAAGGGCATTGACCCTATAAACGGCCTTATGATCGCGCAAGGTGCATAGTTTTTAAGCAAAGTGAGACCAAGGGACAGTAACTCCAAAAAAAACAAGAAAGGAAAGCTAACTTCGGGCGGAGCCGAAGTTGATATACCCTGCAGTTAAAACCGGATATATATCGCAAACATCGGATATAGTTGGCCGATCCTTATGAAATTTGGTAGGTTGGATGAACTGACCAAAAATAGAATCTGTATCAAGTTCCAGCTTTCTATCTTTAAAAACACAAAAGTTGGGTCAATTCCGATCTTTCAGTTATATGGCAGCTATAGGATATAGTCGGCCGATCCTTATGAAATTTGGTAGGTTGGATCAACTAACCAAAAATAGAATCTGTATTAAATTCCAGCTTTCTATCTTCAAAAACGCGAAAGTTGGGTCATTTCCGATCGTTCAGTTATATGGCAGCTATAAGATATAGTCGGCCGATCCTTATGAAATTTGGCATGTCGTATTATTTTGCCAAAAATAGCGCTCATGTAAAATTTGAACTCTCTAACTCTAAAAACACCAAAGTTATACCATTTCCGATCAATCAGTTATATGGCAGCTATAGGATATAGTCGGCCGATCCCGGTCGTTCCGACTTATATACTGCGTGCAAAGGAAAGAAGGGTGTGTGCAAAGTTTCAAGTCGATAGCTTTAAAACTGAGAGACTAGTTTGCGTAGAAACAGACAGACGGACAGACAGACAGACGGACAGACGGACAGA